ATATATATATATATATATTACAGCCTACTGTTGAGAACAAGCACGATGGTGGACTTTGACAAGCCCTGCATCCTGCAGGAACATTTGCTCACTCAGATTTAAAAAACGAGTATTTCAGTAGAGTGGAGAAGCAAGAGCTTGCTCAAGGTCCTAAGAGGCAAGAAGAGGAGGAGATGGAGGTGATTAGCTCAAGGCAGCTGCAGTGATGGGACATACCCTGGGAGTAATGTGGAGATACAGCTAGCAGGAGGTGCCACTGAGACGAAGGAATTCCAGATGGGGATCTGCCCCTCCTATCAAAGCTGGACCCTATGGCCAGGTGCCAGCAGAGGCAAAAGTCCCAATTAGATGAATAGCATATGGAAAAGAGGCATGCTCACTTCCAGAGAGCTCCTCCCCAAGGCTCAGGACACAAACATCTCAATGAGAGTTTTGGAAAGTAATTGCTAGATTGGGTTCAACAAACCATTTTGTGTATGCTCAGAGACTTCTCTGGATGATTTATATTTGGAAACAAAAAAGAACATTTTGCAAAAGAAACAGCCTGAGGCTCTTGATTGTCAGAGGGAGTAAACTCAGCTCATAACACCTAGTAATCAACATTTTTGTTTCATATCAAATTAGCTTAAAATATCTGAAATAATACAATCGTGTTTTGAGAAGGTGGGTTGGGGTGGAGGTGAAACAGCAAAATACTCTTAAATAGGACTCCTAATTTTTAGAAAGTAATCTGCAGGAAAATTGCAAATTTATTTTATATTACTATTCAGTGGAATTCGTCCTTCCCCACACCCTAATTTAAAGTATGAGATATAGAGAATCAGAACACAAGGCAGCAGTAAAAATCATGGTCTCATCTCACAGGTAGGGAATGAATGTAAGGAAGCCTGAGTTGACAGCTGTGTTCACACATGACAAGCAACCAATGTGGTTATTATAGTTCATGGTTTTTACCATGACCTACCCAAAATCAAGTGGTTTCTACTCTATCATGGTTTCCATCCTCCCCATTTAGTCACCCCAATGTTGGCATGTATCCCATCAGCCACTGTGCCTGAAATTCTATCCTAAGGTGCATCACCTCTTGCCTATGTTGCCTGCCTCATCTAATTGGTCCACATATAGAGGTTGAATGGTTGGAGTTGCTCCTGCAATTGCCACTCTTTCTAGAGTAGTTGTATACCAGGACCTTAGAAACCATGATCCTGGGTTCAGACAACATGATAAGCCATGGTGGTACAGAGAAACCATAGAACAAACTAGTTTCTCATCATGGTTTCTAAAGACCAAACATGTTGAAATAACCACAACTGGGTTCAAACTACATGATAGGTCAAAAATAGTGACTTACCTACGTGGCTTGTGTTGTCTGAACCCAGCCTATGTCTAAGGAACCTATCCCCATCACCTTTTAATCTACTGAGGATTCCAAATTCTACTTTACAAGGGGACATGCTAAATCTCCCACCATGAACACAGCATCATGCCACAGTGCACTGATGGGAAACCCGAGGCCTGAAGACCACATCTGAACCTCCTACTTGTTTCAAAGTTGGATCTAGTATGCATCTTTTTTGAGTTTGCATAAGATCACCACAATGACCACCAAAATGCACCATCAAATTAAAGCTTGCACTGGTCAAGAGAATACACAGTAAAAATCACAGATCCAGGCGTTGCGCAGAAATGCGGATCTGAGTCATAGATTTTGATTATTTTACAAGATGTTACAAGATGCTAACAAAATCCCTGTTGAATCACCCAAGACATCTGTGGACACAGAAGTGACATGTAATTTGATTATGCTTGTGGTTAGATCCTATATAACAATCATGCAAAGTCAAGGAGGACCAGTTTGGATTTCTTACATTTGACTTGCCTTCTTGCCACAACTGTTTGACAGCCATTTTGTGCAAGTGCCCACAACACTTCATCAAAGTTCTAAATAGATAAACTGTATGTCATGGAAAAATCTAGGCTCAAAATTCTTATTATGTTAGCTATGCATGGGCAGTATTTTGGACATGGAGATATAGCCAGACATGGAGGTCCTCCTATTTGTATTGCTTTCCTGGAATATACAGTTCAGCTCTTAGAAACCAGAAAAATGTAGCATTAGGTGCCCAGCTTCTGTGTTCCTGTTTTGATGCTACAGAACACAACTGAGAGTAGAGGCAAAAAAAAAGTTACATTCATGCACAGCCAAACCATGACAGGAAAGATGCATAAATTGGGTCCTTGTCAGCCATGATGGACTGGCATAGGCTGACAGCCTTCTCTGTGTATTGTGTAAATGGAAGCACCAAGTACACCTCTTATCACAATTAGATCCCTCTAAACCTCAAACCACCTGACTGTATTACTATTAGGGCTGTGTGAGGAATCTGCCTGGGCTGGGAATCCATTAGATTCCCTGGGCTCGGCTCCCTGGACACTGGTCCTCTTGCCAGTTCTGACAAGCATGGCCAGTGGGGTGCTTGCCAGGAACTGAGCCCCACGAGCTGTGCAAGCAGCGGCCCTCTCTGTGGCCAGGAGCAGCTGCTATGTGAGCAGCTGCACCTGGTGCCAAAGAAACATCGACTTGCAAGAGCTTGCCAGGAAAGCTGCCTACCATAGCAGTGCCCCTCTCTGGAGCCAAGAACAGCTGCTTTGCGAAAGGAAGGTTGACTCACAGGGGGCTTGCCAGGAACGCAGCTTGCCTGCTGCCGCCGCTGCACAAAGCAGCGTCTCTCTTCTGCGCCAGCCACTGTGGTTGTTACCGGAGGAGGTTGCCAATTGCACAACTGGGGCTCTGTGGGTGTTTGTGGACTTCTTCTTGGATCTGCTCACTTTAGAAGACCAAGCTGAGCACAAGCGGAAGCCCAAGGATGCTTGGAGGGAAGGAATCCTTCTATAGTGTTCATCCCAACCCCAATGATCATTCTACTGGAGGACTCACCCTGGTCGTGAGTAACAGACCGATTCTGATCTTGGTGGTTGGAATCGTCGCTGTTGGAGTTTAAGTAAGAGTCACAACCCCAGAAGGCACAGCACTGGTAGGCATATGGGACTGACAGAGATCTGAAAAGTCAGGCAAGAACAGCAGAACATAACTCACAGCTTTTCTTTCCTTAAAAAGTGGGAAAATTAGCATCTCTTCGGTCAGGAGGCTGTTTGCGCTTTCAGGCTACCTTCTAATAAAGACACGTTTCAGATTAACTGTGAGATTTCCTGAAGAGTAGGTTTTATACCAGAAAGAGAAATTATGGAAGTTCTTACAACCATACAGTGAATCTAGTTTTATAGAAGCTACAAGGGAAGGTCACCTGGTTGTAGTCCAACATTATGTTAAAATGTTGTAATCTTCAGGCAAGCAAAATGTTATGAGCAATCATGTTATTACCTGCACATACTGAAACGAATACTCATCAAGCTGCTTGCAGTACAGCACTGTCATGCAAGTGAATTCCCAGGTGAGTCCGGTGCTAATCACACACCTGTCATCCTCACTGTTTAACCTGTTTATAGGAAATCCATGCCACAAGTCTGGATTCCCTGTGTTGTACTGCTCTTTTAACCAACTTGATGACATGCCAGAAAGAGTCATGTACCCAGAAGAAAGGGCCAGACACATAATGTAGCATGTTTAGATTCCATCACACTGTTTAGCAGGGGTCAACAAGGGGCCCTCCAGATGCGTTCGAGCAGAACTCCCATCATCCACAGCCAACACAACTGCAGTGCCTGGGGAATATGTAGGTTGCCAAGGGTGGATAAGGCTGGCTTATACCTATAAAAATTAGCAATGCCCATTAACCATTAAAAAGGTAGAGAAATTAATAATACCATGAGTAGAACATGTTACCGCTGGTAAGAAATAAAATACCACACCAGCTCATAACAGCACGCCTCAGTCTCTCAGATCGACCAATTTCCAGATAGTGTGGATAGATAGATAAATAGCCTGCTGGGCTTGCTTCTCTGAGGAAGAGCTTCAAAAAGAAGTAGCAAGTAGCTTCTGAGGCTCTTCGAGTATCAGAGGCTGGTACACAGTCTACTTGATACACGTAAGCCAAAACAAAGCACTTTGGTGGCAACTTAATTAGTAAGCACACTATTCTGGATAATTTCAGTGTAGCTAATAATTTTGCTTGCATCCTCAAATCTACCATGAGTGATTGAGTGTCAACTCTTTACTGCCAGCTATTCTTCAAAGAGCATATGAGAGAAATGGCAAAAATGTAGAGGTGCAAATAATAAAAAGGATGAAGGAAAACAGCAGTTGAAGATTTTTTTGTTAAGATTTCCTACTATAAAGCTATGCTAAGCAATGAATTCTCATTCATGTATGAGGAATCACAACAGTAGTGGAGTTGCCCAACCCCTCATGCTTTCTCCAGTCAATTGTACAATACTAGCCACCGGAGAAATATTTCCAGCTGACCTGAAGCTCAGAAGACAAAACTGAAGCTCTGAGGTTTAATCAACCCAAAAGCAGTATATAGAAATATTCAATATTGTTTAAGGTCAGGAACATCATTATACAAACCAGTCAAATAGAACAGTGCTGAGCAGGGTGGATTATATATTATATACTCTGTTGGCATATACTACAGATTTCATGCCACCGCCCCCCCCACCATATCCTGGGAACTGTAATCAACTGAAATTTCAGTTGCACATTTTTCTTCTGTTCCCTCCTGCTTCACATCTGGAGGATGAAACTGATAAATATTATCCTAAGATGCGTGCAACATCTCTGATTTTCTAAACTTAAATTAATCTATACACCTCAGCTATGTTATGTGTCCTGGCAAGACAGCTAAATCACTTGAAGTCTTTAGTGTAGCTACGCCCAGACTGGAAATAGTTCTCTGTAACATCCACAGTAGAGAGTCTCAGTAGCAGTTCATTGAACTGGAAATACCAGAGAGAGATCTAGGATATTATGAATGCACAATATGAATTGTGCCACTAAACTAGGAACATCCACCTAAACAAAACAAAATTTAAGGTAAGAACCCTTTAAGAACTTCAGGCTGGAGAGGTTGAAAGCCAAAGCTGCTTTATGCCCCATCAGCTCAGTAAAGTTAGAGTAGCTCAGTATGTCTAGTTCAGCATCAGCAACATTGACCAGTAGTAGTTCAAACAGGAATCTTTCAGCCCTGCCTAGAGATGCCTAGGATAAAACCTGGAACTTTATGCATGCAAAACTTGTGCTCTGTGCCTGAGCTATGGCCCTTCCCATACAAGAAAGCGTATGTATGACATATTTTGTGTATTAAGCAATCAAGTGTGGATCAATGACTATAAATGCAGGATTGGATGCATTATACTCAGCTTCAACTTGTCTACTCTGGAAAACATTGGACTGAGACCTTGGCAAAAATACTGACTTCTCAAAAAAAAAGGGGGGGGGAGGGAATATTTCTTGGAGCAAGTCCAGGATGCAAACATGTACAAATGTCAGTCCCTGGAATAGGCCACAGTCCAGATTCTCAGTGACAGAATTTATGTTTTAACATACAAATACACTTTTCCTATTGAGTTGGAAATGGATCTTTTCAACCTTTTGCTATTAGATAAACTAGAAAATAATTCTAGCCTGTCGAGGCAGGAAGTTAAATAATGGAGGCCTTTGACCTGGGAAGGCTGTGGCTACAGTTCTGGGCTGCACAATTCTATGTGGCTACCTCACCATGTTTCACCTGGACTGAAAAACACTTAGATGGTCTATTTTATCCATCTAAGCATTTTGCCCAGAGAATGAAAGTGGATGGCTGGGGTGCTGCCTGGATACCAAATAGGCTGATGGAGTCTGTCCCTGCCCCTGGAACACCCATAAAATGCTCTCTCCAGATGACTTTGGGGTCACAGCTAGTATGGATCTTTCCACATTGGTTGCAAGGGCAGAGGGAAGACATGGTAATGTCAAGCCCAGCTCTGAACTTGAAGTGGCTTTGCAGGTCCAGAGCTGGGACTCTGAAGTCTCCCATGGTCATCCAGATAATATCTAGCAGCCTTAGGATTGATCCTTAAGACTAATGAAGACAGGAATGATTGCAGTGAGCTTGGGCTTAGAACCAATAGCTTCTTGGTCTCTTCCAACTTGACTATTCAATGACTCTGTGAACACTGTCTAGATAAGAACTGAACCACGGAAGAAAAGAGGAGAGTGAGAAAATTATGGGCATGTCAGCCACATAAATATGCATTTCACTTTGGCTATATTCAGAACAATGTAGTTTGGACCGGTTATAACAACTCTGTTGTAACAGCCTTACAACTGTGGATTAGGTAAAGGTGGATGTCTCCACCCCAGAGTTAAATAGAAAGTACTGAATTCAGTTGCCCTTATATATACCCATTTTTGGATATATTTATGCACTGATTGCATTTCTGATTAGCCCCAAAATGAATGAGCTATCAACAGATGTAACAGCTCAATATGCTGACAACAAGGACCATCTTAGCTGAATTAACTAGAATTTAGGGCATAAATGTAATCAAGAGTACAACTGCATGTACAATCCAACCTGGTTACTGGCTTACCTGAGTTTTACAAAGTCCTTTGCTGGCAGGGCTTCCTTCAGTTCAGTATTGCCTACTAGTTTAAGTTGGTTTAACCTGCTCAGGCCTCCAGTTGGAAATGAAGTCAATGCATTGAAACTTAAGTCTCTAAGAAAAGGGAGAAAAAGGTGGTGATAGAAAACTAGTGTGAGGGAGGAAATGTGACCTGTTAAGTGCTTACATATGTGAATCTAGAGTGAAATGGATAGTCAGCCACTCCACTTGCACCACCTTACACTTGTGCAAGTAGAAGGCTCTGCAGCTGGTTGTGAAGGCAGCAGTGCATGTTCAACATTTTTTACCACGTCTGTCATGGCAGAAGCTTAAAGTGACTTATGTGAGGTTAACCAACTGGGCACTCTTCCAATGCGTTTGACCCTCCTTGCACTGCCTCCTGCCAACAGTTACTAGCCATGGCAGCTGCAGACGCTGGACTTTGTAGTCAAACACATCTGGAGGGTGCCCGGTTGGAAAGGCTGGCATTAACCCCAACAACCCTGAGAAATGAGCTGAGGGGAGAGGTAATGACATGCTGGAGGCTACCCAGTGAGCATCATGGCTGAGAAGGGATTAGAAACAGAGTCTCCTTGCTCCACATCCAACATCTAGTCACTGCACTGCACGACCTTCTAGTTTTTCTTGCCTCCACCAGAGATTAACCAGTTCATACTCAGCCCCCTCCTCCCACAGGCCTTTCAATGCCCTTCTCAATGCTGCCATTTCCAAGGAGGCCGCAGCTGTAGCCTGAATCAAGTTGCAAAGCAGAGGTGCCCAATGGAGCTGGTCTCTGAGATGCAGCCATCACTAAGTGGAGGAAGGAACAAGAAAGTGTACAAGAGGAGAACATGTCAGAGCTAAGTTATGAATGGTATGGAAACAGAGGGACATGGTTCTTTTTCTTTCCCATAACAGTACAACTCGGGTCATCCAATGAAAATAATTGTCTTGCCAGACTCAGGAATGTATTCAAATAATATATAATTTGTCTATGAAATTTGCTGCTCCAAATGTGGGGTTGAACACTAGCTTTAATAGATTTAAAAGGAAAAATCCATGGCTGGAAAGTCTACTAGTGGCTATTACTCAAGATGAACTTTATACAGAGTACAGTTTCGGAGGAAGTATACTGATCTGCAGCAACTGGAGAGGGCTATTACCTTCATGCCTTGCTTGCGGACTTCAGAGGCATGCAGAAACATGTTGTGCCTTGTAGAAGGACTCATCCCTCTGCACTTTGACTTCCACATTTGGTTATATTACAAGCTGGAATTGAAACGGCTTAATTTATTTTGTTACCACTTGATGTACACACTGTGAAGGTACAAAGTATTTTTATTGTAGCAAAAGTTAAGTGAAAAAAAAGTTACATAAACTGGCACTTGTAGATCGTATAAATATTTATCCCCAAGTCAAGACTTGGTAGAAGCACCTCTGACAGCAATTATGCTGTGAGTCTTCCTGGCTAAGTCTCTATCAGCTTTGTGCATCTAGATTCTGCGATGTTTACCCGTTGTTCCTCGCAAAACAGAAACAGGGTTGCTTCTAGCATTGCTTTATATTTGGCTCCATCCATCTTGTCTTCAAGCTTGACCAGTTTTCCCGTCTCTGGCAAGGAAAAGCATCGCCACAATATAATGCTGCCACTCATCTACTTCACGGTTCTCAAGGAAATGAGCACTTTGTGCCACACAGCATTTTGCAGGAAGCACCAGAAGTTCAGTTTTGGTTTCACCAGACCAGAGAACCCTTTTTCCACATGTTTGCTGCATCTCCCACATGTCTTTTTGCAAACTCCAGATTGGTTTTTATGTGGGCTTCTTTCTGTAATGGATTTCTTCTTGCCCTCTTCTATAAAAATCAACTTTGTGACTTTGTGGAATAACTGGGTGCTGGTTGTCCCATGGACAGTTTCCCACATCTCAGCTGTGGATCTCTCCAATTCCTTTGGAGTTGCCTTTGGACTCTTGGATGCTTCTCTGATCCTCTAGGCCAGTGATTGCAAACCTTTTAAAGACTGAGTGCCCAAACTGCACCCCAAAACCCACTTTTTTATTGCAAAGTGCCAACACACAGCCAGTACGGAGATTTTAGTTTAGAAAAAAACAACTCACAGCCAGTTCAAGCATACATGCACACACACACACACACACACACACACCCTTGGCAGTGTACTGATTGGCCATGTGAAAGCTCGGACGAGTTGCAGCTAATAAGTCGCGGCTCGTGACATCATTGCCCGGCACCACTACTCCTTTCCGAGCGTGCGCATGGCCCCTGTGTGGGCTGTCATTCAATGCTCAGCTGGTGGGGCGATGCTGGGGCGACTTGGCTCGTGTGTCCGCTGTGGCACATGTGCCATAGCTTCGCCACCACTGCTGTCGGCAGACTTACGGCTCAGCCATCAACTTTCCATTACATTCAATGAATTTAATTGTGCTCCACGGAATGTTTATATTTTGAGATATTTATTATACCCTGATTAGTGCTTTTGCACAACTTGATTGAGGAGCTGTTCCGATATTTCCTTGGTCTTCATGATGCAGTTTGTTTAGATATGCTCTCCAACAACTCTGTGGCCTTCCAGAAACAAGTGCATTTAATCTGAGATCATGTGGCACTGGAATTGCACACAGATGGCTGCATTCAGCTCCTTATAGTATGTGACTTCCAAAGGAGGGGTGTTACAATAGAACTATTTAGGCATTTCATAGCACATGGACTGAATACTCATGTGACCAACAAGTGTCACTTTGTTTTTGCTTACTTAACTTTTGTGCCACAAAATAATTATTTTGGAACTTCACAGTATGCAGTCAGGATCAAGTAGTAACAATGCCAATTAAATTCATTTCAGTTCCAGGTTGGAGCATAACAAAATGTCAAATATTCAAAGAAGGGGAAATACTTCTGCAAGACACTACAGATGGCCTCTATGGGACATAGGATGCTGATATAGACGGACTTTTGGTTTGATCTAGCATGGCTCTTATGAAAAACACAGGCACAGAAATGTCCCTTGGGTCTACAGGCAGCTAAAACATGAATTCGGAGTGACCATTTTCCATTGTAAGTCTCATTGGACTTGTAGTTCCATATAAAGAGTAAAGGTACCATATTAAATTACTCTCCAATTTCCCTGAAAAAAAGTTATAGAAAATATGTAAACATACTCCGCATGAACTCTCCAATTTAATCCAAGTTGAAAGCTACACAAATTCCCCTCCACATGGAACCTGGAAGAGCAAGTGACCAAAGCCACTCTGTTTCTCAGATTTTCAAGCAGTAGTCGTTTTTCATCGCCATGCTGCAAGCCGTCCGGTGAATAGGTAGCTTTCTTGTACGTGACAGCACCGTGATCTTTTTGCTTTTTCTACATGGAGGATGAATGGTGCTTTAAGGTGTCACAGAATACAGAAGTACAGTGTTTCAAGAGGAGAAATGACATTGTTTTAGGACTAGAAATGTGTATTGTGCTAAATGGCCTACTTACAGGTTGGTAATAGCACCAAGAGTAATAAATGCTTCCTTGTCCACCCGGTGGATCAAGTTTCTGCTGAGATCACTGTAATTTTAAAAAGTACGATTGTGTTACTGATTTACATTGACACTTCCAAATGGCAATTGTTTGCACTTCAGTGATTACATTATGTTTCAGGTCACACTAAGTTTCTGACAAACAAATAACTTGCACTCAACTGTAGTTTACAATGTCATCATGACAATTTTCTCTAAATACTTCTCTTAAGGGCATCTCATTAACTGGAAAAAAGGCCTCTAGTTTAGCAGCAGCTCAACTGCACAAGATTGGAATTTGTTCTTGAAATTTGGGTGGGGGTATGAGCAACAGCTGCACTTGCAGGGAGCCAAAGATGAAGAAAGAATATAAGTAGTCTATTCTATAAAAGAAAATCCATTTGCAGACCAGACTGGAGAATAACTTTACAAATGAATTTCTACTTTTGTTTAACTCCTTTTTGCACAATATAGTATTCAATAAACTAACACAGGACTGAGTTTTCATTCGCTTCTGGAATCCCAAGCAAACCACTAGATTTCTCAAGCCATTTGCTACTAACTGGATGGAACTCTGTGGCGTTGGTATCTGCTTGTTAGACGTTGTCACATTGTTTCATGAAGATTTAGATACAAACAGGGTCGTTGCTACAGTGAAGAGCAATGGGAGTCAGTGTGGCACAGTGGTCAGAGTGCTGGATGGAGATGCAAGAGATCCAAGTTCTAGTCCCCATGCAGGCAGGAAGCTCACTGGGTGATTTTGTGCCAGCTGCAGATTCTCAGCCTAGCAAGCCCCATGATGTGAGGATAAAATGGAGAGAAGGAGAACCTTGTCAGCCACCTTGGGTCCCTTGCAAGAGGAAGGAAGGTGGTATGTGGACGCAATGCTAAATAATACTACTAATTAAAACACTAATACACCCAAGCTCTAGATCTCACTATCCTGGCCCTGGATCTCTTTGGACCACCATCCCACTCTGGACAAACGGCTGTGCACGGCTGCCAGTGCAGCCCCGAGGCAGAACGTTTGGCTCTGAGGCGGATGGGACAGGGCAGGAAAGATGGAAGGTGAGAAAAGCAGCTGGTCAGCTGTGCAGAGAAGTATGGCCCACATGGCAGAGAGCTCTTCAGCACTGGGATCCCTGGAGCCAGAGCTTGTCCCTGGTGCTCAGGAGAATGGATTCATGGAGAACATGAGAGAAGCATGTTCTCTCTCTGGGTGACAAGGAGGTGCTGCTAGGACATGGGGGGCTAGTTTTTCAGGGCAGAGGAGCAAAGGAGGAGGCTTCTACCTGTACTCTGTGGCACTGCCCCTGCCCCTTGAGCTTGGCCCAGGGTGAACTGCGAGGGTGTGGGGAGAAAAGAGGCTACCCGTGCCTAGGAAGGACCTCCATGCTCAGCATGGGGAGGGCAGGGGAGATGTCACCGAGGAAGGCACTGCTTCCATCTGAAACCAGCAACTGAGTCAGCCAGGCTGGGGAGCTGGGAAATGGCTGACAAGTTACTGTGCAAGATATTCATTTGGGAAATAAATTAAGCATAACATATTGAGAGGTTATCTGGAGGGAAAGGAAGAGGAACTGCCTTGATTTGAAGAACTATTTAGGGTGGTGATCTGGGGTGGGACACAAATTGAAGAATTTGGGATGATTTTCATTAGCTGGCTTACCTTTATGGAATATAAATTCTAAATTTGCATGCACATATTTGCATATGTGAATTATATGCAACCATTTGTCTCTGGGCCCAGCCTGTAAATATTCATTATTTGTTTACATTAGAAACCAAGCCATGGCACCTTCATAACCTTAGAATCCAGGTGCTGCTTAAATTCCATCTCAAGGCTCTCTCTGATCTAAGTTCACATTTCAGCATATTATCTGATTTAGCGGCATTTCACATAGGCATAGTTTTAAAATTTAAGGATGGAAGAGTGCAGAATTATGTAAGGTTAAGTAACAGGATGAAGAGGGAAAAAATAAAATTTTAAGAAATGCAGCCTGAGACCACTATTTTTCAGATGATTGCTCTACTTCAGTTAAGTGTACATTGTCTGCCAATACTGAACACAACTGTAAACTTTCAACATTTCTCTTTAACATCAAGGCATCTATAAGCAGAATATACTCACAGGGTACGTAGAGAAGTGAGTCCCTGGAATACATCTTCTCTGATTTCCTCAATTTGATTATGCTGCAAATATCTGCCATGGAGAAATCAATTATATAGAGGAGGATTTTCACCAAGAGTACACACATTCATAACTTTGCATTTTATCTAGACAAGAGCAACCCCCACATAATTTATTTCTTTAATTAATGAAGGACTGTGTATTTGCAAGATACCGTAAAAGACAAAGAAAACACTGTCCCATAAAGGTGAGGTGAAAGAGGTGGCAGGGAGACGAAAGACAAAGTCCAAATCAAAATAGACGTGAGACACGATGCTTTTAGCCTAATAAACTGGTTAAGCTGTGGGCTAGATGGATTTGTAGGTGTTTGGAAAACCATGATCAGAAATGTTCCTCGATGGTTCCTCATCAAGCTGGAGGGAGATTTTGTATGGAGTGCTACAAGTTTCTTTTCTGGGCTTGTTACTTTCTGACATTGTCCATGACTTAAAAAGGGTTAGACAAACTTTGCATAAAAGGTTTGCTAGGTTAAGGAATGAAGAGAAACAGGGAGAGAAAATGACCTCCGGATTGTTTTTCCCATTCAAATGCTTTCCCATTCAACTCAGAGAACTTAACCATTCAACTGTGATGGTTAAGTGCTCTGAGTTTTATAATTTTTTGCTGATTAGGACAAGCCAGAGGAATTGCTCACTGGAAAGTCACAGAACAAGAAGGATCAATATCAACCCATTATCCAGTGACTCTCATTTGATGTTTCCTAAAGTCAGCCTTGTCAGTCAGTTCAACAATACTCACTGACTGAAAGGTATAGAGAGGCTCATGGCAGAGATGCCTGTGGCAGAAATCCGTTAGAGAGAAATATTATACTGTGTATGTGTGTGGGGGGTACATTTATTGATTGATTGATTGATTTATAGCCTGCCTTTTTCCTACAAAGGGCTCAAGGCAGCTCACATCATTCTCCTCCTCCATCTTATCCCCACAACAACCACCCTGTGAGGTAGGTTGGGCTGAGAGTCTGTGACTGGCCCAAAGTCACCCAGTTGGCTCCGTGGCTGAGTGGGGATGAGAACCCAGATCGTCTGAGTCCCAGTCCCATGCTCTTAACCACTACACCACACTGGCTCTCTTTTCGGGGGTGGGCAGGTTGAAAGCAAAGGCAAAGATGTGGGGCCCAAGATACCAAGAAATTTCCTAGCAGTTCTGCTGTGGGAAAGACATTTCAACCTTTTATATACGACTGGCAGAAGCTGAAAGTTTCAGAGTGGAGAAGTGATCGAAGAATCAAACACAAGGATCAACTGGATAAGCAGAGAGAATGAGCAAGGGTTATGAGAATGAGCACGATGATGAGCTTAATAGAGAAATTAGGAGCTTATGTCAGATGTGGCAACAGGCAAAAAGGCAACGAACAAAATGTGGACACATCACTACACTGTGTTTACTGTGGGCACATTTTGTGGCACAGACAGAAAAAAAGACTCAGATTAGTTCTGCAGTGTTTTTTACTCACATTTCTTTCAGGGAACTGCAGCCTTTAAAACTTGGAAGTTGTTTTATGTTATTATAAGACAAATCCCTTTCAAGGCACAAAAAAGAAAAAAAATGTGATTAATGCTATTATTTTTATACGAAGATTTCATGGTTCTAGATGCAAGGTTACAAATACAAGGAGCTACCCCAACTTTTCTCTTGTCACATTCTTGCAACAAACTATTTTCATTTTTCCCTATCTATTTTCCCCATGCAAATGGACTGTGTTCCCTAAAGTTTTCCAAAGAAAGAAAGTGCAGAGGTAGAAAGTTTAGCCTCAACAGTTATACCAGGAAGTTCACAAATTCAATCAAAACTGAAGTGTTCAACTCCAACCCTACAGACACTTCCTTGGCAATAAAACCCACTAAATATAATGGAGATGATTTCTCAGGGGGTATATAAAGGACAGCACTTTTTGCTCTAAAAAGTGGGATAATCATTTCATAAAAGTTATCTGTGTTAATCTAGGAATAAGGTGGCACAGGGATAAAAAGAACATGACTGGTTGCTTTCCCAATCATCTTTGATGGTTAGGCTCTCTGCGTTTCATAATTTTTTGCAGACTAGGAAAAGCCATAGGAATTGCTCCCTGTAAAATGACAGGGAGAATCAACATCAACCCATTAACCAGTTATTCCTGTTGACGCTTCCTGATCAATCCAACAATACTCACTTGCTGAAAGGCATAGGCTAATGGCAGCTATACCTGGCCTGCCAGTTTTTAAATTGACGTGAGATGGAGCTATCCATGCCCCCAGCGACATCTTGGTGCATTACTTGCTTTTTATCTTCCAGATGAGACCCATAACTGAACAGTATCCAGGGATGTGTTACAATTGGTTAACCAAGGAAAGCAGAAACTCTTTCAGGAAGAGGGTGAAGTTCCCTTTGAGAGAAGCTCTTGGGGCCACACTCCAGTGGTGAGTGGGGCTCCCACCAAAACAAGTCTAGCCAGGAAATCTTTTTGACCACAGACCCTGTGCAGGTACAGATATATGTGATGCACAGAGACCATGAAGAACTGCAGAACAGCTGGAAAACCATCCAGTGACTGGGTTTGAGTGAAAGGGGCCATGGCATTCGGAGGAACTTGGCAATGAAGGATTAGGCTGCTAGGCCTGAGGTTCAGTACCCTTGAGTTAAATCAAATGGCACATTTGGCTTCTGGTGTTCTCATTGATAAAACAAGTAGGATCTGGACATGTCTACTTACAAAGTCCGAAGTATCTTTTGTTCTTGGCACAGATCAATGGGAATGCTGCTTATTTTGGTGCCTGTAAAAATCCTGTTTAATAAAACACAAGCATTCGAATAAATGTTAATAGGACTGTGTTAGGAGAAGTTAAAGAAGAAAAAACTATGCTTGAAAACAAACAAGTATGATAGGTTTAACAATGGGCACATTCACAAAATGCAATGTCTGAGTTCTGGCTTTTCAGAAATGAACAAACATGCTGGTTCATGTTGCCAACAATACAGCCTGGCTCCTCCTGCAAGTGAGGTGCTCAGAAAATATACTGTTATATCTAATCAAGAACCTTAGATTGCTGCTCTCACAAGAAGGAAGGGTGGAATATAAATGTGATGATGATGATGATAATGAAAATGATAATGATGATGAAGATGCATCATCACACCTACTTGTTATGGATAAGCTAGAACTATTAGTAATTCCAGCTTGCCTTTTTGTATGTACACAGCCAATGTCTACAATCTAAATCATTAAAGAACTACATCTGTTTTACTTTTTCTCACTGGATTCTCTAAATTCAAACAAATCCTGTGGTTCAAGAAAAGGCTAAGAAACACAGTTGTCCTATATTCACAAATATTTATTTTTCCTTTAAAATAATGAAGATGAACATTTTTACCTGTTATTTTAGTTCATAGAAGATACTTACAGACTTTCCAAATTGGTTGTTCCTGTTAAGTTAGGAAACCACTGTACCATGCTGGCCCCTCGAATTACCCTGGAGGGGAAGAAAAGGTTGGAAAAGAAGCAGAAACATGACATACATGGCTGCATTATTGGGTGGAACAATAGAGATGTGTTATAGCAATAGAGATTTTCATTAAAGTTTTATATCAGCCTGATTCACTCTCTTCCACTGGAACATTTATTGATGCTAGCAGTAATGACATTTGGATCAAACCCTGTGGTACAAGTTAATTTCAATGCTGAAAAAAATGTCAATGTGTTTGCCATTTTCTTTACATGTCAGTTGAAAGAATTTGTAGATGCTACTATAATCCAATCCCTAGGACAGTCCCACCTGCTTGTTTAAGTCAATGCATTACTGAATGTGTTAAAAATTGTGCCAAAACGACAACTGTGATGTAACTGCTAAGCCATTTATTTATTCTCACAGAGGTCCTATTGCAGCCTTTGTGGGAAGCCAAGTGTGGAATGAGAAGATGAGTATTCATGCAATTTAAAAATACATGTTTGTAGAGAACAACATAAAGAGAGCACAGTGTGTTTAAAAAAGAATGCCTACAGTTTTATAGTGGTAACTGCAAAAACACATTAGATTTAGAATTGAGTGAAAATGTGAGAATCATCTATGTCAAATCCCTATTTTACCTCCAACTGGAATCAACTTGAGGGGCAGTACAAAAACACACTCTAAATGAAACACATTTTTGTGTTTAGCTAAGATTGGCAAGAGTATGCTTGATCAAACCTCCCAGCCTTATGTTTTTAAAGGGTGTAGGCACTTAGATGAGTTTATGTAAACATACCAAAATATATGACCCACCAGTTTCCATGGGGTTTTGCAAAAGAAAATCAGCAAGAAGAGAAAAGAAGTACTCAAAAGCAAGTACAGAAAAGCAACTAACTATGTTCCTAAATTCATATAGATTATACGTAGTAATCAAAAAGACCTAGTAACCAAAGAGTTTTAATGGCTTCAATTAACAATGGAGTTGTTAATACAAGGATCAAATGTGGTAAAACAAGATGACTCAGAAGAACACAGTGATCTCATAACAGCAAACTGGAATGGCACCTACACAATAACAAGATGCAGCCTGGAGAAACATGCAGACGGATGTTCACAGTAGTCCAACGGCTGCGAATTGCACAGTTCAAGGGGAGTCTGGCCAGCTAGGCATGCTTCACAAAGTTACGAAGGTAAACAGTGCTTGGAAGGTACCTGATGTACATATGGTTGGGGGAGCGGGAGATTTCTCATACGGTGCACTGAGCTACCCAGTGAATAAGCCATGGTGGGCTGATTGACTGTTTGCTGAACGACCAAACAACAGACAATCAAGGGCACCCAACAAGACAACCAAGTGCACCATGGACTCTGCTGCCATTTCTTCTTCACACTCCTCCAGCTAGCTGCAGCATGTATCCTAGTACCCTCTGCTGAGTTTCCTCTTTGTGTTTCCTCTTCCCAGCTTGGATCACCATCCCTTTGTGTGTGCTGCCATTTCTTCAAAAGTTTGCCCTTGCTGCTATGCTGTACTTCTGCAGTATTTCCTGGTCATTTCCCTAGTCTGTTTCAGCTGATGAAGAGAGCAGAAGGTGAGACTCCTTGTAGGCTACTTTGTACATGGTTGCTAGGATCCAACTGTCAAGCTGTCAATGGAAAAACACCAGGAAAAGGCAAAAGAACAGTGGAAAAAAGTGCACCACTGTGCAGAGAGAATAGTATCCCCTTGGCAATATAATTCTCTTGCTTCTAAGTGTTGAAGTGGTAGTTCTCTGTCCCATCCACCTTTTCAACTTTACTCCAGCTACTCCAAAAAGGGAAAGTATTAACCCCTCTTTAACTTCAGAGTAGGTGAACATTTTTCCTTCCATTTTCTCCCCAGTCATTAACTTTGTCTATGGTTTTCTAAAAACTGCCACAGCAACAAGTGTTCTGAAAAGAAGCTGTGAAAAGAGGAGTGAGGAGTTAGTACTTTTTTCTTTCTGGAATAGCTGGAGACTTGGCAACATGTTGAGAAGGTGGAGCATACAGAGAGCTGTCAGTTCAATACTTTAAACGGAAGGGATTATATTTGCAAGTGGGTAATAATGTCCTCCACCCTTTTCGATGCACTTGTTTTCCCTGCTTTTTCATCAACAGGCACAAATTAGCCTGTATACCATCTCACCTCAGCCTCTTTTTGACAGCTGAAATGCCAAATAAACCCATTTCAGTCCCAGGTTGTTACACAACAAAATGTGGAAAAGTCAAATGATGTTAATGCTTCTGCAAGGCACTGTACATATTTTTCCAGGTTGCATCTGACCACTGGATAAATGTTATCTGTGTTTATCTGAGTGGTCTTCTTTTATGGATGAAGAGAAGACTATATAGAATATAATAGACTGTATAGTTACAATTTTATAGTTAATATACCATCATCACTGATGTGTAACAGATGTTATCAGCCACTGTTTATCGTAAGTTTGGGAGTGTTCTTGATGTTTTCTGGTTTTGCAACAATATGCTAAACCATTATCAGCTTTCCTGAAATAGTTTCTCTATGACTCCTAAACAAGTCAAGGACTGTGATCTACTGTAATGATTTAAAGTACACTCATCTTTGTCTTGCTTCAGGCTTGCTCTCTTCAAGAAATAGCCATTATTTATATGATGTCAAGGCTAAGCATGCATAGCAAGTAACTGGGAACCAATGGGATTCTAAAATTATGGATTTGGGAATGGCATGCTAATACTGACTAGTACAATTAAAGTTTCAATTTTTCATGGTATAAATAAAAGGTACAAATATATTTTAGAGTCAACTGCAATAATACTTACAGGGAATGCAAATCCGATAAGTTTCGAAAAGCAGAATTCCCAACAAAGGATAATGGGTTATTAAGCAGCTGTCTGGTGGGGGAAATTAAAAAAAATGTCTCAGCCTGTGCAATTGTTTTTTGATCTATCAAATTAAAATTTAATATTTTGCTGCTTAGAGAGCCCTGTCAGGTTATTCAGCAGCTTATAAATGTAATAATAAATCAATCAATAAATGGTTCCATTAAAACTTACATAGTTCTTAGAAATGGGTTTCCTACAAATGCATTATCAGGGATGCTAGAAATGTAATTGCTGTAAAATCCCCTAAAAAACAAAAGAAAACAAAAACAGGAAAATAAACCTGAAGCACAATATTTAAATAATTATTAAAACTTTGTAACAGGTTACAAAGCGATAACACAAAATAGTTGTTTTATATTATTCAGGTACAGCTGCTGATTCACATAAAGGGCACTTCCACACCATCTTGATGGCAAAGTAATCTAATGGAGATTGTGAATGCCAATTAATTTAGGCATGAAACCTGGATTAAGCTTACTTTGTACTGAACACATAAGTATGTGCATTAAGTTCATACTTATGCAGAGCAGAAGCTTTCATTACAAAAATAATCTGAATATTCAGTGAAGATACCCAGTGATTCTTTGTGTGAGCTAGTCCCCATTTTCTTACCAATGACTCCAGCCCTAAAGAAATGAAGATTGATTAGCACTCTGAAAACTAGAACTTGTCAATATTATAGACAATTATGCAAAGTAATATATTATGCAAAAGCCGCTCCTGGTGATCCATGTGGGCACAAACGATGTGGCCAGGCAGGGTGTGGTTGGGATCACCAGGGAATTTGAGGCCTTGGGGAAGAAATTCAGGGAGCTAAAGGTCCAAGTGGCCTTCTCGTCAATCTTACTGGTCCGGGGATTTGGGCCAGGAAGGGACAGGAGGGTCTCCGAGGTGAACGACTGGCTTAGAGTGTGGTGCCAGAAGGAACGCTTTGGGTTCCTCGACTGCGGCACTCATTTTCTTGCCAATGGACTTCTCGCAAGGGACAGGTTACACCTCACGAGGATGGGGAAAAGGTTCTTTGGAGATGCTCTAGCGAGCTTCGTCCGGAAGACTTTAAACTGAGCCGGGGGGGGGAGGGGGGGAGTTCAGGCCTCCCATTAACGTGACTGCACTGGACAAGTGTGGGGAGAGGATCAGGGCTCTGGGAGCAGGGACTGACAGGACTCCTACAGAGAGGGGCCAGGTATCAGGGAGGATGGGAGGAAGGAGAAAGCTGGGAACTCCAAGGAAAGGAAGCGGCGGGAAGGAGTTGAGGTGCATGTACACCAATGCTAGGAGCATGGATAATAAGCAGGAAGAGCTTGAAGCTCTCCTGGGAGCATGGATAATAAGCAGGAAGAGCTTGAAGCTCTCCTGGGAATAGGAGGGTATGATCTGGTGGGAATCACAGGAACTTGGTGGGATGAAGGCAAGTCTGGAATGTAAACGTAGAAGGGTATCACCTTTTTAGAAAGGACAGGAAGGGAAAGAGAGGTGGGGGCGTGGCTTTATACATCAGGGAAGGGATAGGATGCAGTGAGATAGAATGCAGCACAGATGGGGATTCGGTA